TACAAAAATCATTACCTACCTGATGGTGGTTGTCTGAATTCTTCAATATGGATCTGAGACATGGTTACTAAACAGAAAGCAACTAAGATTTGATCTTGATTTCCACCTATATAATTGTTAAGGGATCATGTGTTGATCTAATAGCTGTGCATTTGGTCATCCAAGTGGCTCTTTTAAATTCTAAAATTATTTTCAGTTTATGAAACATTTGGCAAGGTAGAACAACATGATAAATTAGATATACTATTTATATTCTCTACACTGTAATTACTCTCTCTCTCTCTCCATTGTATATTAGTTGCCTAAAAAATTGTCTGTTAGCATTGTTTTGTTTCATTTCTAGGGGGTCAATTGGGGAGCATAGGAGCATCTGTTTATTTCCACTATTCATCAAAGTTGGTATGCATATCAAATACCTGGAAATATACTAAACATTTTTTATTTTTTTGAGATAAAAGTTACAGTCCTTGCTTGAACCTTGCCAGATGGTCCATATTCTAGTAAGCCTAGTGTGGTTTTGATTGGCTTGATCTATCCATCCATCCCAATGGCACTACAACCCATGGAAGGCCATTATCTCTCCATTCTGTGCTTTTTTTTACGTCATGCCCTGGCCGAGATCTATGTTAAATTAATTATTTTTTCTGGGCTTAAATGATCCTTTGAATATATTTGAACAGTATTGAAGGCACCCAGACACTATTAATTTTAATATTGATAATATTAATTATCAATTATTATTAATAAAAAAGTCATGTACTGTTCTACAGCCTGTTTTAGTATTCCTCGTTTTGTTTTCAATAGAAAATACTTTTTTTTTGTATTCTTGATTTCCGCTTGCAGGTTTTACTCCAGAAGTGATTGACAAGGTGATGGACTTTGCAGAGCGCTATATATTGACTCGTCTTTACCCGTCCATCTTTTGTCATCCCTCCACCAATGACGAGGAGAGAGATCTTGCTATACAGAACCGGATAAGGAGTCTCCACTGGATTAGAGCACCTCAATTAGACACGCTCATAAATGAAAATGATCCTGCGATCAGACATGAACTGGACAGTGCAATAACAGGTCTGTGGTGCCATCTACATTTTCTTTTGTAAAATTGATCACCTAGCATTTGTCTGGTCTCTAAAGCAAGGGAAAGATTTGTTACTATTTAGTATTTAGTTAGATTAGCAAAGACCAAGAGGAATTAAGTTAACAAGAATTTTGCCTGACCCTTATAGTTTTGCCCTCAATATATATTTGAAATAAAAATGTACAATTAGTGCAACAGATCATAGTCAATCTTTCATTATGTTTTCATAATCTTTAAGACAAGTCATTTCACTTTACACAACAAGACTAGTTGTTTCACTTTACACAACAAGACTAGTTGTTTCACTTTACACAACAAGACTAATCATTTTACTTTACACAACAAGACTAGTCATTTTACTTTACACAACAAGACTAGTCATTTTACTTTACACAACGACTAGTTATTTTACATTACACAACAAGACTAGTCATTTACTTTACACATCAAGACTAGTCATTTTTTTAAACAACAAGACTAGTCATTTTACTTTACACAACTCAGTAAACATACTTATAGGTTTCAAAAGAATCTCATTTAAACTTCAAAGGAAACTCATAAGCATAAGAATCTGTTTAGAAATTTTGACCGGTAGAAAATCATGCTACCAAACCTCCTTTTTCTGTCAACAACTTACTATAACATATATCTAAGCACAAAGAGTTGGGCTGCAGCTTGTCACTCCTGATGGATAAAGATTATTCAGGGATTTTAATTGTCTTGTCAGATCTGCAGATATGATGCTGAAATTACATGTAGTATTACAATCTGTAATCACATTGCATTTCCAGCATCATCTGAATATCTAGTAATCAAAGAGCTCCCATGGGAATGCATTTGAAGAACAGGTCAATACTTGGTAGCAAGTTTGTAGCTCCAAACAGCTAGTAAAACTAAACTAATGTTGGCATGTTATATTCTTAATGTTGTCTTTATATGAGAAGAGAGTCCTTGTAATCACAACAAATTTCAGTAAGGATCAATAAAGCAGTCTTGGTCTTAGAACTTGAAATAAATTTGAACAGACTTCTTTTGAAACAAACTTGAATATAACTTTTAGTTAAATGCACAGCTTTTAAATATAGATGTATGTAGAAACACACGTTAAAAATAATACTTTGAACAAGATATAAACTCAATTTTAACACATCGTTCTTTCACAAGCTCTCTCATTCTCCCTTCTTCAACTTTTACACCTCTATTTATAAGCTGAACTACGACAGACCTCCTCTTGATTTTATTAGAATCTATTCAACCTATAAAACCAATCAATCCACACTCCTTTACTCATGGTTGCATCAGAAACACACACTCCCTAACACTTCAGATTATTCCCAATGCTCTTGTAATGGTAAATGTTCTTGTATTGGTAAATGTTCTTGCAGATATTATTGAGCTGGATTCTAAAAGAGCCACCCAGGACAAACTTCAGTGCATAGTCAGCTGTAGCAAACACATATTTGAAGTCCTGCGGAAATCAAAACAGGGACCAGCCAGCGCTGACGAATTTCTGCCTGCCTTGATCTACATTGTGTTAAAAGCGAACCCTCCACTATTGCAGTCTAATATTCAATACATTACAAGATTTGCCAACCCAACACGTCTCATGAGTGGGGAGGAAGGATATTATTTTACAAATCTGGTGAGAGCAACCAAATATCTTTAAATAATGCGCCATGGAGGAAAACCGCAATCACTGTTTGTCATCTGTGACAGTTTTCGGACATACTTTGGGAACTCTCAAAATATGGGCCGGTCTATTCTGTAATGTCATCCAGTCTTTTGTTGGTTTGCCTCTATTTTCCCACCATGTAATGTCATTTTTAAGATAAATTCCCATTAAACCTTGAAATCCCAGTGCGATCTGATTTGGCCTTGTGAGCAGGTTTCTAATGCTTTCAGAACTTAGATTAAAATTCTTAATTTCTTCCCTCGTACTAAAGACTTTTTTTTTTGTCTGGGAAGTTGGGTGTGTCTCTGTCTCTCTGAAATTATATTTTCAAAAGCCTGCAATCAAATGGCAAATCTATCGTGTGATTCTCCATCTCATCTCTTTGACAAAAATTGTTCATTTAAATGTTTATTTAAAATAGGCTGGATGCAATTGGGTTTTGGTAGCCATGTCAAACTCTGCAATCATCCTTGTCTTCAGAATGGAAGACATTGCCATTGTTATTATTTTTTTAAATGTTAAAATTCTTTTGCATGTCCAGTAGTATATCTTTGAGTTAGCTGGGCATATAGAGATCACCAGTGAGCTAATGACTTGCACAGTACAGTACAGCTATCATCTGCTTTTACTTTGAACTTTAAACCTAGAATAAGAAATGTTGACTCTTTGTCAATCTGAAATATTTTTAATGTAGGGATTTTGTCTAACACTTGTTCTATAACTTAAAAGATAAGTTTATTTTTTAATTTATATCTACTATATTTATCACTTCATTTTTATTTCTAAAATATGCTTGCTCTGTAAAAATCTATTTAATTGGGATTTATTAAGTTATTTATAAGTTATTTGATATTTGTGTTTGAAATTTTTTGTTTTTAGTGTTGTGCTGTCTCGTTTGTGGAAAGTATCAACGCAGAATCTCTGAACATAAGCAACACAGACTTTGAGCGTTACATGTCTGGGGAAGCTGTCCCTCCAGGCTCTGGGAATGAACAGATATGCAAAGGTTTGCAGATGATGTATGACAACCTGAAAGTGTTGGCCGAGCTCCGACAGCGCCAGGAAAAGGTCATGGCGGAGGTGCTTCAGCTTCAAGCTGACATGAATGAGTTCAAGGAGAACTTTATCAAGAAAGTTGACGAAGCTAAGGAGAGGACACCACTGATTATCAGGCCTCGCAAAGTCAAGGTAGATCCTGATATTGCATTTTCAGGTCAAAATAGTAATTTACCATCACCTTTGACCCCTCTTAAGGTTAACGTGGACAACAGCCATGTAGCTATTGTAGCTGAACAAATGGTGGTCGATGATCTAAGCAACCTGCAAGGTAATGAAAATGTCATGGAAACCAAAGAGGGTTCAGAGGAGATGGAACCTACTGGACAATGATAAGGGCATGTGTCTTCCATTCACCGCAGGTTTTCTTCTCCTTTCCAGCTTTGTTTCTTTGCAGTCGCAGTGAAACAGAATTTCTACTCAAGTTTCTGATGGGGTTATTAATGGCACACATCTATTTTTTTTAAAGATGTTATTTTTGTATGACTTGAATGTGCAAAGTAAAATTAATTTACTTAAGAGTTGTTTCAATCTCAGCAGTCGTAGCACAATCTAAGTCTAACTCAAGAAATGGATTAGTTAGACAAAAACTGATTTGATGATGTGTCTTTCGTTGAACTTTTTTTTTTTGTTTTCTTCTTCTATTTGTTGATGCACATTTGATTTGAACTCATGATTGGAAACTGTCAAAATGAAACTCTCTGAAAACTTAGTTGTCTGTAGAGTAGTCAGAAGTAGTAGCTGATTTGTTCACATTTTGTATTTGCAAATGGTCATTGAGGGTACAATATGCTAAGCTGTCGGATTTTCATTAACCAAGAATACAGTATGCTAAGCTGTTGTATTTTCATTATCCAAGGGTACAGCGTGCTAAGCTGTTGGATTTTTCATTACCCAAGGGTACAGTGTGCTAAGCTGTTGGATTTTCATTACCCAAGGATACAGTATGCTAAGCTGTTGAATTTTCATTACCCTGTACTGGATTGAACTTTCTCATTCTCAGCTGCAAGACTTGAATTCAAACCTGTTTTGGTTTATGCTAACATAATATTTTATTGATTTTGGATGATGGTGTGTGAGATGGTAAAGACAAGTTTCCTTTCTACCTTAATGTAATGTTTAACAGGATCCTAGGTTGTTTTGAGTTTAACTTTGAAAACATGATACATTTTGAAATGTTCAAATCAGGTTGTTGTTTTTTTTTACAATACCTAAAATGTTTATTTTGTACAACTAGCTTTTACTGGATGAAAGGCAGATTTTGATTTACACCAAAAGAGATGCTGAAATAATTTTAACCTTGGTTTAAAACGCAGTAAATGCCATAGTCCTAATATTATTTATCAGGACAATTATGGGGAAAGTCATATTTTCATGCTCCACTTTTTTTTTTTAATTTTCTTAAATATGGACCAATAATTGGGTTGGGGAGCTTGATATGTCATAAACTAGGCTGCATAGCTTGTGTTATTCAATTTGTCTAGTTAATGTCTAAGCTTGAAAACACAATTGAACCCTATAATGACAATGAACAATTTGCTGCCTACTGTACTGTTTTGTGGACCAGCATAATTGCGGTTCATTTTGTAACAAAAAAAAAAAAAGATTTCAGAAAGTTGTATTATTTTTGTTTTGTTTTTAAATATGTGTAGCCTATTTATATCAGTGGTGAATGTATTTGTCATTTACCATTGAAGAACTTGATCAACCAGTGCAATGAATATGTAAATTAGTTATGATGTAATATTACAACACACAAACACACGTTTATATATACTTGAACTATTTTGTTTGTATATCTTACACCAAATTGTTTTGGCACATTAGGGCTAAGCTTACCTGGCAATGTTACCTCTGTGAGAGTTATTAGTAAATGTCACAATGCTGTTTTTTTTTTTGTGTGTGTGCTGACATTTTTTATTTATATAAATGTAATAATATGAATCAATGTTGAGGTTTTGCTTGATCAGGTCAACTTCTCCTGGCGTGCAAAGGTTTTCATATTATTTATTTTGTCTTGGCTCCATTAGATACTGTGCATTATGTTGTTTTTTTTTCCTTTCTTATGCTCTGATGGATGGCTATGTAAAGAGAGCAGGCACTTGATAATTAATTGGACATTGCATTTGGCGTCATTGATCAAATGACTTGTTTTGTTGGCTGTACTTTTTTTTTTTTTAATTAAACAAATACATTGAGTACAACATTTTTAAAAAAATGTTCTCCCTTTGTATCTAATGAAACAAATAACTTGTTGAACAGTTTTTTTTTAATTTTTTTTTTTTTACATTTTTAGTTTAGATTTCTTTTAGATTTAGATTGTTCTTTTCCTTAAGGTCTAGAGTGACTTTGCAAGATCAGTTTTCACTAAGAATGGGTCAAATGTAATAGCTACTAGTTGGAGAGAGAGGGGGGGGGGGGTAAGCGTGCCAGTCTAACTTATATTAAGAATAACAGAAAAGCAAAGAAATAAGGGGGGGGGGGAGCCAATGAATAAACCAAGGAATGACACCATTGTGCTGCATGTATCAAACAGATCACTATTTAAAAACCAAATTGAATAAAAAGAATAATTGCAACTGTAATGCTCATGAAAAGCATTAAAAAATACTTTTAGAATCAAACAAAGCTTACATTCAGTGTAATTGTATCAATTAGTTTGGATCAGCCATTTAATTAAATTTATATTACTCAGTACATCTAGCCTAAAAACAATAAATCGGTACGTTTAGAAATATTTTAACCAATGTTTTTGTTTAGTGCTATTTCACGCTTTTAGGTTTCTCAGTACGTTAGGAACTTATGATCCTATCACTTGTCTGGACCAGTTGTGAAAGGGCAGGGGGAAAGAAAGGGGTATCTGGGTGAATATTACCGCAGTCACTTTTTAAATGCATTTTTTAAAAAGTTGTTCAACTTGAATTTGAATCAAGCCTCTTGAAGGGGACTAATGAACTTATGCCACCACCTATGTCAAGTACAATTTCTCTCCCTTGTTCAATACCAAACAAAAAAAAAATTAACCAATTGCTAATTAACTACTTGGTTAATTTTTTTTTTATTGATTTTTGTTTTGTCAGGTACAGAACTAGAAATAATTGTGTAAAATTTACTCTTGATCCGAGAATTGGTGTGGGAGAAATAATATGTAAAAACTTTTTTACCAGACAGAGAGTTAATATAAGCTTTGTAAAATGGCAAAAGTGGAATTCTATAAGCAGTCATTGTAACAAACTGCCAGGTCCTCTTTATCTTGTAAAGTTTGAGTGAGTTTTCTTAAATTCAGAACTGTCAATTTGAAGAGTTTACAGATCAAGTCTACTTGGGACATATATCTGCATCTGGACAGTGTAGATATGACAATGTTAGTCTAGTATTCTTAGCATAAAGTCTCAAGACTAATTTTGATATGTCTTTGTCAGGCTATGTTAGTTACATTTAAGTAGCCCTACGTGCAAGCCTTATATCTTTTTACAAAGCTTATATCAACTCGCGTTGTTTGTCTGTCTCTGTCTGTTAAAAAGTTTGAACATGTTTTCTTCCCCATTCTTGCATCAAGTTAAAATGACAATTACATGACATGAATCAATCCAAAAAAAGTAACCAATTAGTTAATTAATTGTTGGTGATTTATTATTTTGTTTGTTATTGGAATAAGTGCCTATTAATGAGAGATAGATAGATTTAATCCCCTTGTTACGCTTTGACACGTTTTTTTCCCCACTTCCCATTCTCGCCTCAAGTTGAAATTAATTAATCATAGTCGATGACAAAAAAAACAAATCAATCCAAAAAATTAACCATTATCTAAGCATTTGGTACTTAGTAACTAATTATGTTTTATTTAGTGGAAAGGAAGCTAAAACCTGTAATTTTTAGATAAACGGCAGTAATTAGCGGCACTTTCCCTTAGATCAGCTTTGATTTTAGAAAGTATTTTTAAAAATTGTTCGTTACTATTCCTCTTATATTATATTGCAAAGTATTCGTGGGTGGACACGGATCTTGAAAACGGCTCAGACCAGCTAATGGCTATTTAGACTTGAATAGACCCTAAGCTATTTGAGATATGGGACCCTTTCATATGTCGGGCTAAATACTTCTTGGTGACCCTAAGCTATTTGGTATATCCGACCCTTTCATATGTAGTGCTAAATACTTCTTGGTAACCCTAAGCTATAGCTTATGTTGCCTATTGGTAAATCCGACACTGGCTTTAACGATTTGGGGGAAAATACTAGCTGATTGGCCACACAGGGTCTCTGGTTTGGCTTTATAATTTTTCAAATATAATATTATAATCATCTTAAAACTAAATTTGGTCTTAAGATCTATATCATGAATACACATCGATGAAAATCCCCAGCATATATTCATTAAAGAGTTTAATTAATTAATTGTTAGGTTACTTAGGTACAATAAATAATTGTCTAGTTTCAACTTATTACGAGAATGGGTGTGGGAGAAATAACGTGTTCAATTATCTAAGGGGACGAAACCTTTAATATTTAACAGTATCTAAATACTGAAGGAATAATTTCCATCGCTGGTTTAAAAAAAAAAAAAATCAATTACCAGTATTTAAGTGACTAATTTTTTTTTTTAATTCTTGTCTGTGACAATGAATGATTGTTCAAAATTTCAACTTGATCCGAGAAGGGGTCTGGGAGAAATAACGTGCAAACTTTTTAGCAGAGTTGATTTAAGCTTTGTAAAAAAAAATTGTGCGAATTTTCTAGCCAACCCTTTTTTTTTTCTTTCTAAAAAGTAAAGGTACCCTTTAAGACCTTGCCAGCACAACGACCAACCACTTTTACTTCGCCTTACTACTGTCAGGATCCCATTTGATTTTGGTGGACTAATGACTCCAAAGTTCACGATCCTAGTCTTCATCTGATTTGAAATAGTGACCCTCCATAAAAACACAAGTCACACGTGTAGGCCTATATAATCTATAAGGTTGATGTTTTAATCTGAGGATATAAAAACAAGGAGGTGGCGGCGATTTCTTTTCTCTCTATTTACACCCTCTTGGATAAGAATCTCATTAAAATTCGGATTATTTTGAGATACGCCCCCCTTCGAAAGCTAATTTCTGATATGCCTAAAATGTGAAATGGTATGGCAGGAGATGTACTTAGCAAGCGCAAATATACATTCACCTCTTCTCGCGCAAATTGAATGCACCGCCCCTATATATGCCAGATCCACGCTAGCCTATACTACTTAGGCCTACCTAGCTTGCTCAGTGGTCGGCATATGTCTATGTAGCCTTATGTACGCACGCGCGTGCGTGTTTGTATGCAATTTTTTTTTTTAAATCTAGTTCCGTTGCCTTTCCTATGATCTAGTTGTAATATAGCTTAGTTACCTCCCCTCTTCCTGGTCTTCCCATGTGTATTTTGAATTGCGATTTCGTAAGGGAGTTAAAGAGTTGATAGTTAGGTTAGATGAGAATAAAGTCAACATTTTATTTTTTTTTAATGTGAAAGAAAGCGGGGCGCGCAACGTCTGGACAAAATTGAGAGAAGGAGGGGGCGTAATGGCTTCTTTTTTAATTTAAATTTTTTACATGCGATGTGATTTTGTCCTTATTGTATTCCTTTTCAGATACAGATGAAGGCCCATTCATGTTAGGAACACTACCTGTAATGTGAACATAGCATTATTTGACCGTAGGCCTAAATATAGGCTACGCCTACTTTGGTTTCGATGTCACGAGAGACGTGTCTCTTAGTAGGCTACTCTATAGACAATAATAAGCCTCCCCCTTTATAGGCCTAAGCCTTCATGAAAACATCGATCAGTGTTGGTTTCAGGCAGATTCACATTCGTCGCCGCACCCCTCCATCCCGATGACGCTAATCCAAGGGATCTCGGGAATAGATAGCAAGGCCCTAGGGCCGAGCACCCCTGACAGAATATCCACATCTTTTTTTCCCTCTTACGATCAATTAGTACTGTCTTGGGAGGGGGGGGGGGAGTTGAAGAAGCTGTGTGGTTGATCGTGGCAGGGCGGTAATGCTTTTTTTTATCTCCTGAAAGTGTAGGCCCAATCAAACTCCTTAGCTTTTGGCACCCCCCCCCCCACACACACACCATATGACACCCCACCGGAAGTTCTTTTGGCTTCCCTAATGGCTCATCCAGTATCCGTACTATAATAGCTTGATCACCGCGAAGAAGCTTGGGAATGACTCCATGATATTTTATTGCACTGAGGTTTTATGCCTCCTCATGCGGCTGGTGAGACCTACGTGATCCCGGAATGTTCGTCTGCACACTGGGCAGGTTATTCCAGCTGGAGCTTGGGAATGACTCCATGATATTTTTTAGGAAACCACATACTGCAGTTTGTTTAATCGGAATATATAGTTCGTCCATCGTGGTCCGACGATGACCACTTTGTCATCCGGGGGGGGGGGGGGGCGAGGGCTTTGCACTGAGGTTTTATGCCTCCTCGTGCGGCTGGTGAGACCTACGTGAGCCCGGAATGTTCGTCTGCACACTGGGCAGGTTATTCCAGCTGGAGCTAGTGTCGTGGGCCTTGCTTTTCTTTCTCTGGCGTGTTTCTTCTGCCAGCGTGGTTTGAAATAAGAAGGTGAAGAGCCAGTGTGTTTGTTCTGGTCAAGATCTAGATGAGTTTGATGTGCAAAGAAAATGTGTTTTTTTCTCCCGGTATAAAGAGTCATGTGACCAGGAAGTAAGTAAGAATGAAAATAAATTCTTAACATATTTTTTTTAACAACTCTTGTTGCTGATCTTAACACGCGCATAAATCTATGTACATGTAGGCCTACAACTTTTACCTCGAAGGGGAACTTTACTTTTACCTGGTCGTGTGGTATGCGCGCAGGACTGTTGCCGTCTCGATGGTCCCCAGTCATATCTACCCGCTGCCAACCCTATACCCTCGTCCTGCGGAAGGTTTGGACAGGGCAGATTTGTGTTTACTAAGCGCCGAAAGGCAGCACGGAAAACCAACTCCTAGATACCCCCTTCCCCCACTGGTCCACAAATGAGATTGGACCAAAAGCGCTCTGAACATGCTATAAGCATGAAAGTAGCGCTATATAAAAGCTATAATAATAATGTCTAAACTCAGTGGTATCTAAATTTTAAAAAATTATTTAAAATGAGATGGGAATAACACCCTGCCCAGCGTCACTGTCGGATCATATATAATAATAATAAGGCTTGTCTTGGAATTCTAGTACTCTGTTTAAAATCCAAAGTTGACCATACGTTACGAGAACACACGCAACCCATTAGTGATAAAGAACATTTACACCATTATGACAGATCTATA